GACGTCCTGCGGTGCCGTGGAGCCGATACTCTCCCTGTTTCTCCACTCTCTGGATACTTTCTTCCCTGTCTCTTGTGGGAAGGAACGAAGGCAGGGAGGGAGGGAGAGAGGAAGGGAGAGGGGGGAGGGAGGCTAGAGGGTGGGGTCAGGGAGGGGGGGCGAGAGGGGATGCTGAAACAGTCTATCCACACAGGAGGTGACATCCTGACCAGCCCTCCAGGAAGCCTCCCCTTCAGCACAGCACGAGCCCGCACCTAGAGGTGAGACCAGCTTCCCACCCAGCCCACACGCCTGCAGTTCCGGCCACTGCCAGGCCCTAGGGGGGAGGGAGGCTAGAGGGTGGGGTCAGGGAGGGGGGGCGAGAGGGGATGCTGAAACAGTCTATCCACACAGGAGGTGACATCCTGACCAGCCCTCCAGGAAGCCTCCCCTTCAGCACAGCACGAGCCCGCACCTAGAGGTGAGACCAGCTTCCCACCCAGCCCACACGCCTGCAGTTCCGGCCACTGCCAGGCCCTCTTCCACACTCAGACGTGCCTCCTTCCCTACGGCTTCCATGGAGACAGGTAAACTTCCTAGGGACCTGCTGTCCAAGGTGGGAAGGAAAGGAGTCCCATGGAAACAGCAGTCCCCTTGGCCACATCCAAGCAAATGCCAGGGGACAGTGCAGAGAGAACAAAGGAGGGGCCCTCAGGGCCCTTCTCTGGCCCGCGAGTCCGTAAGGGACCTGCTGCTGCCCCACACAGGCCGGGCTCCTGAGCGCTGCTCTCGCACGACTGCGCCAGGACCACGCAGGACGCACAAAGAGCTCTTACTCGCTTTGCGGGAGTGATTGTTCCAAAGTTTACATTGCTCTTGAACGTTGGTTGGTTTTCCTTGCCAAAAAAGAACCCTGCAGTGTCCCTGAATGCAAGGGAAGGACCCAGCACGCTCACGGTCTGATGGACACCTCCACGCTCCCGCTGTTTGTCCCTACCCACCCAAACAGTGTCTGTGCAACAAACATGTCCAGAGAAAATTCCGGGAGAGCCAAGGCCTAGACCACACCCCGGGCTCACAGCCCCACCGCTATGCAGTCTCTAGTTCCCGAAGCCGCTGCCATCCCACGGAGAAGACCCCGTTGGCACGCTGAGCCGCTTGGGGCCTGCTCAGGCAGGCTCGTCACATGGTTCCCAGCACGTGCGGCCCGCATGAGCGAGGAGCTGGCTGTCCCCGAGCAGAGCCTCCCTCAAAGCCCAGGCTCTCAGACTGCAGTGTCCTTTCCCTGGGATCTTCCCTCACTCAGCACTACTGTGACGACGCTGCCACTCCGGGAGGGAAATCAGTAAGAAGGCGAAAGAGACACGAGGCTTACTCTAATGTCAGGGCGTGGCCACCGAGGACGCGTCCTGGGCAGCCAGCCTAAGGGAACTACCGCAGAAGGCGCGGCGTGCAGACCACCCAGGCCTTAGGAGAGGCTGCTTGGCTCTGTGCTCAGAAAGACCCAAGAGTAGGCCAGGGAGAGTCCCTTGACACCAGACCACAGGCACAGCTCTCGGGACCAAGTCGTTACCGCTCAGTTCCCCGGATGTGGAGAAGGGTCCAAAGTACGCGTTGCCTATCACTGTCAGACCCGACCCATAGGACAGAATGACACTGCTTGCTTCCAAAACTTGCCAGCTATTCATAAGCCAAGTGGCTTGAGAGCCGAGGACCTCTTAGAGACTTCACCCCGCTTCCCCCCAAAAGAGTGTGCCGCCCGGCCCGGGGCAGCGCTGCCAGTGCCTGCCTTGTGCCGAGCCTGCCCAGCACGGTGCCCACAGAGGCTGCATACCTGTGTAGCCAGCCAGGGCCGCGGCAGGGATGACAGGCTTGTCCTTGTTGAGGTCAGCACGGTCGCGCACATAGTCCTTGAAGGTGCCCTTGGGCTTGTGGCTGGGCAGGGCAGCGGGATAGTCCTCGGAGTCGAAGCTGTCGTAGGACGGCACGCGCTGCAGACTGCTGACGGACGTCTGGCTGCTCCAGGACTGCGTGAGGCGGTCACAGCTGTCGTAGCTCTCCATGCTCTCGAAGGAGTCCTGGCCCCCGAGCTTACCTGGAGGGAAGGAGGAGGTGGGAGGAGGAGGGGAGGGTTGGGACCGATGGCTCACCAACTCTGCAAGGAAGATGGAAAAGGGGGCTCGCAGGAATGGGAGCCCTGGGGGCCGTGGGTCTCTGAGACGGGACGTTGTGCAGCACGCCCTGCCACACCCCTGCCTGTCCTGGCTCAGGGTCCCGACGCCCGGAGCCAAATGCTCACGACCAGCACAGTGGCAGCCACGTTCGGAGCCTCAAGGCCGCTACAGCCAGAAATCGGGAAGTCGAGAGCCATACACATATTTTTGCGTTTCTGGCTGAGGTTTTAAATCTGATGAAGAACAGAGACCCCCAGAACAGCGTCAGGCTGAGTCCCCTGTTTCAACTCAAGCCAATGAGATGAGTTCAAAAGGCCCAACTCGGCAACATAGTTTGGTCCTAAGGAAAAAAATTTCCATTAAACTAAGAGCAGATTGACCTTGCTTAACCTTGGAACCAAAGTGCTATTTTTCAGCATTCTTCCCAAATACTATTTTAAAAGGAAATACATGGACCGCCTCTATGTCTTTGCATATAGGGAAGAAGTTAGGAGATGCTTTTTTCCAGGAGTTAAAGACACTATCACTCTTCTAAACAGAAAACCACATTCTTTATCCCCTCCAAGTACAATTCTGTGCTTGAAATTGATGCTTCACTGAGGAAGCGTGGCCAACGAGAACAGAGCCCAGTAAAGAGTTAAGGCCCACGGGGCAGTGTCAGACATCTCTTCTCGGTACCCTGAGAGTCGCTTCAGGCATTCTTAACTGACCACAAGATCATGCAAGTTCATTAATTTCCCAAACCAGGTTATACACAGCTGTGACGGTTACACAACAGCTCCTGGAGAACTTTCCACTGGCAAAACCGCCATGGGGAGGAGGCTTACGCAAAAAAAAAAAAAAAAAGTTGAAGAAAACGAATGTATCTAAGAGCTACGAAGGATCACAGAACGTTTTCTACCCTACACTTTCCTGACCGGCACGGAGACCAAATGACCACTACACTTTCCTGACCGGCACGGAGACCAAATGACCACCTTCCAAGTCAGCACAGCCAAGAGGGGACGGGAGGTGAAAACAGACAGGTAGAAGCCCATCAACTTCAACTCGTAACATTCGCAGAGGCTGGCCTGGGAATGTCCAATCCCAGAAGCTGACCTCTGCAGCCTATTTCTACATGGCCAGCGCATCTCCCCATTAAAATAATAAAATCCAAATGTGTACAGGTGCCCAGACTGAAACTAAATATATAAGAAAATGGGTTGTGCTCCCCCCAAAAAGAAATCCAGATAACAGGCATTCGGCCAAGGATGTGCTGTCCATAGACTCGACTGCGGTAGACTTCGCCTCCCTCCCGAGGACTCGCGTCACGGACGAGTGGTGTTGCTCCATCTCACTGCTTCTTCTACCCATCAACCCCACGGACAGCAACCTCCAAGGGCGGACGGAAGAGCTTTCTGGAGTCCTCCCTACCCGGTCTCTGTCACAGAGGCCACTTTTCAGTATTGTTAAAGGTGGAGGAGTTGTCCCTTCCAGAAATCCACGTCGAAGGACTCAGGGAAACCACCCACGGCCAGAATGCCATAGCCTGCTTTTAGCAGAACAGGACATTTTGTGGCATCTCATAAAAAGGTGTTTGTTCATACCAACTATTGATTTTAGTAGTCATTCAATTTCTCTGTGAGACAAACACACTAAAAGCCTAAGAAAAAGAATCTATATTTTCATGAAGAAACACCCCACCCAGCCACAGATATTCAGGTAGTATTTATGCCTAGGCCTCTGAAACGCCTCTGTGGCTATCAGCCATTTGTATATTTGGAAGCCAAGGAGGCTGGACTTCCCACATGCAAGACAGTGAGTTTGCGAGGAGCCCCGCCGGGGGGCGCTGCCCAGACCACGGCCGCTCTGATGGCCTCTCCCAGCCACACACCCTGCGGGAGCTGCATCCGCAGCAGGTGCGGCTTTCAGGTCTTCACGCGGGCTCCTTCTCACCCTGGAGCTATGATCCTTCGTTTATGGGCATTCCTCCAAAACGAATTGGGTCCAACTGAATTAGACACTCAGCTCCCTACTTACTGTCCATGCAGGGACATGCGTGTCCCATGGGACGGCATGGGAAGTTTGCTGATCGGGGCCTTGGTGAGGTCCTTCCAAGCCTGGCTAACTCCGTGGAACAGAACTGAGAGCCCTCGGAACAGGAGACGGGGGTCACGGCAGCCTGCAGGACGGGCAGGGGCAGAGACAAGGCACATCCAAAGGAGCCGGGCACAGAGGGGCTCTGTGCGCTCCCCAGGGGTGGGCGCTGTGGCCTTCATCGCACACGGCATGGCAAGGCTCCATCCTGACCAGTAGCCCTCTCAGAGCACCAGTCTGCCCCAGGCCCTGCCAGTGGCTCCTCCCCTGGGCGGAGGGGACTCCTCCTCTCCAGATTCTGAGCCCTGGAGCTTGGATGGAGGGAGAGTGGGGCCCAGAGAAATTCCTCATGCCCATTCGTAAGGGCCACTTTTGGTCCAGTCATTAGGGGACCAAAACCGAGAAGAAGAGAGGCAAAAGGCCAGTTATGCAAACACCAGGCAGAGGCAGCCTTCTGATACCTGGCAGTCGGTCTGCCCGAGTTAGGGCGCCGCTGAGCCCGGACTCCCAGGCTCAGCTCCCTGCAGGAAGGCACAGGGAGCCCTGAGGAGTGGGGTTAGTTCCCTGACCTGCCTGACTGCCTGAGAGCAAGGACACACACACACACACACACACACACACACAGTGTGTACGTATTTAAATAGACAGGCACCCAAAAATAAAAGAGCCAGAAAGGGGAAGACAGAAGCGGCCCCACCCATGCCCTGCAGCCTGGAACACAAACACCCGGCTGGCAGGCAGGTGGCAGGCCCTGAGTCTGCAGGACGGGCCCTGAGTCTGCAGGACGGGCCCTGTGCAGAGCCTGCAGGTTATCCCAAGGCCGCCCGGGGAGTGTGCGCCGACAGGGCAGAAGACGACACATGGCCACAGGCCTGTGCTGAGCTTCAGAGAGGCTGCCTGTGGGCTCTCAGGCAGGAGCCTCAGGGTGGTTTCACCCCGCCGGCTCCCCAGCAGAGATCACCAGCAACATCGACCCAGGCTTGCTTCTGGGACCACAGGCCCTGCCCACCGGTGGGCTGGCTCTCACCCTCCCTCTTCCTGTTCGCCAGTCTTTCCCATTATCCACCAGAAAGTCAACTGTTCCAACTCTGAACGTGGGCACTTCCTTCCAGGTGTACAGACCCCTCCACCTCACAGCCTGATGCTACAAGTGAGCACGTGCCCAAATTCGGGTGTTGAGCCATTTTAACAGGATTAAGGGGTTGAAAACTTGATCCAATTACGGTGTCCTTTGGGAGGAGATGAGGACCAAGCTCGTGCACGGTTGACCCCTGGTGGGATTTCAGACAGGGAAGACGGCAGGCAGGGCCTCATCACAGCTGCCACGCTCTGCCCGGCGCTCACAATGGGGTCGGGCTCTGCAAGGCGCCCACCAGATGTCACCTGGACCTTGGACCTCCACGCCGCGAGCTGAGTAAGCCTCTACGTTTACAAATCACCCAGTTCCAGGTACTTTCTATTATTAGCAATAAAATTGACTAGAGCAATCACACTTTGCTCAGAAATGAAACTGTCTGCACATCGTACTGGATGGGGTATGCTCTGGGCATGTCCTTACAGCGGGGATGGGCCTTATTCACCTTTTCTGCTCAGTATCAGCAGCGTGGCATCACTGCGAGCCTTCACCACTAAAGTAATAGTCAAGTCAACAAGGAGACCTCCTTTGGAAGCCTCCGGCGGCCTCTTTCCCCAGTCCTCCAGCTAAATACCCACTCGTCCCACACTGCCGATGGCAGCTCCAAACAAGCTACTGAGTCGTCCAGAGCACAGAGGTCACAGGGGCAACAATCCCAGGCCAGGCTGCTGAGGAGCTTCCGGGTCCCCTGCCTGGACATCTGCTCTGCCCCACGAAGACTCCAGAGGAACACCAGGGTACACACAAAGCTTTGGGTTTTCCGGAGTCACCTGGACCATTCTGACCTGACTCTGTCCACCTCAAGCAAAGTGCAACATAACTAAGGTGGGGTCTCCAGCCTCTGGCCACAGACTGGGGCCACCTGTGGCCTGTTGGTGCCACTCCCAACCCCCCCATCCCACCCCATCCCTAGGCCGCATAACAGGAGGTGGGCAGTAGCCACACCAGTAAGGTTGGTCTGTTTGCGGCCACGCCCCATCCCTTGCATTGCAGCCTGGGACCTGCCTCCTGACCCGCTAGCAGTGGTTTCGGATTCTTATGGGAGCAGGAACCCTACCGCTGAGTGACAGTTTCATGGTGCACCAATGCTGGGACAGTGGTGGGAATGGGGTGCACAGTGGGTATGGTCCTTGTGTCACCCCGGGACCAACCTCCTGATCACTCCTCACCCCAGTCCACAGAGGGATTAACTTCCATAATCCTCCACAATCCCTCCCTGGACAGGGGTGGGAGAGAGGCAGTGGTCGCCAACCCTCCAGGGATGCTAGTCCCACATGCCAGGAAGGCTGGGGACTGCTGCCTTTAAAAATGCCCAAATTGAACTTCAGAGTTCTTACTTGAGCAAACTATTTTACCCAAGGAAACCATTTGGTTGTTTATCTTGCCAGAATCGAATGTTCGCCTGGACCCATGATCTCTGTCATCATGAGGGATGATGACGGAAAGTTTCACTATCCAGACACCTGAGACAGGAAGGCTGGAACTGAGGAATCAGCAGGGCTAATTCAAGAAAAAACGGGACCTGAACACCCACCAAGTTGGTCATTCTCAGAGGCCTCAGAGCTTGGAGAAGAGAAAAGGGACCTACCACGACTGGTCCTGCCCATGCACATGTTGTCTGGGGTCACGACTTCCTGTTTGATGGCAAAGTAGTCGGTCTGCAAGGCGTCAGTCTGAAGAGGGTCCCGGAGAATGACGGAGGGGTAGTCATTCTCATACTTGAGGGACAGGAGCTCCTCGGAGCTGATGGGGTGCAGCGTCTGGTAGGACTCTGTGATGAAGCTGGGCTCCGAGAACTCTGACGGGGGAACGCACTGAGCATGCTCGATACCATAGCCTGGAGACAGAGAAGGTGTCCGACTGGAGAGGGGAGAATCGCACCCAACATGGCCAGTCACCACCACCAGCGAGGTCCCAATGAGCTGGCTACCTCTGAGAACGAGGAGAGTATTGTAAGTCAGAAGGGACTGGGTTTTTAGCCGTGCTCCACTACAGAATAGTTATGGCTCTTGACAAAATAGCTCGTTTTCCTGGCTTAATTTCCTCACTCACAAGAGAAGGGTGATTGCAATCTTTCTCAGAGCACTGGGATCACTATCCAAGGAGTCTTCCAGGAAAATGCCTCCCAGCACTTCCGCCACAGTGTGATACCTAGCAGCTAATGCCCTTGCTGTCACCTAGCAAGGACAAATCCTAAGAGTGAAAAGACAAAGTGAAAACAAACCTGCTCAGGACTTCCTCTGAAGCCAAGGTTGTCAGGTAAGAGCAACCCTCCCCTAATTCTCTTCCTCCCGCCGCCTTTCCAGTATGGCTTAGTATCTTGTACTAAAAGAAGGAAGCTGTGTTTTCTGGAATAGAATTAGAGGTTGCATGGCCTACTCTTAAAGAAGGATCTCGAAGGAAATGCTGTCCTCTCCACTAGCAAAAAAAGAAAGAGCAATCCTTAACCAACCCTCAGACAGCCACCACAATGCATGGTTTCACAGAACGTCAGAAGTTTGGGGGTCAGGTGCTGTTCTCTCTGCATGACTGTCACGGTGACATGTACTAGAGATCCTTCACTGTAGGAACTTGCAGGTTAATAAAACATGTAAATAGGTTGAAACCTGGTACTTTTTTTTTTTTTGAGAGGTTTTTGTTATATGTTGTGTGCGCTCGCCAGACAGACAGAGAGAGAGACAGAAAACGAGAAATCATCCCCCGGGGGGGATGGCCACACCGAAATCCCTTCTCCATTCTCCTCTCAGGATCTTGGGCACGCATTCACATGCACCTGGCGTGATTTTAAGGCACTGGGTCTGGGACTCAAACCACAGTCGACTACATGGGAGTCCAGCGACATAGTCATTACACCAACTGCTGGTCCCAAACCTGGTACTTTGTGAAAAAGAATAAAATAAGTAACAAAGAAGAGTCTGCACTTAAGAAAGTATCTTCCACAGAATTACCAGGACCGAGTCTTAGATCAGCTCTGCTGGGCCCTTGCCCAGGTGAGAGGTTTTTGTTATATGTTGTGTGCGCTCGCCAGACAGACAGAGAGAGAGACAGAAAACGAGAAATCATCCCCCGGGGGGGATGGCCACACCGAAATCCCTTCTCCATTCTCCTCTCAGGATCTTGGGCACGCATTCACATGCACCTGGCGTGATTTTAAGGCACTGGGTCTGGGACTCAAACCACAGTCGACTACATGGGAGTCCAGCGACATAGTCATTACACCAACTGCTGGTCCCAAACCTGGTACTTTGTGAAAAAGAATAAAATAAGTAACAAAGAAGAGTCTGCACTTAAGAAAGTATCTTCCACAGAATTACCAGGACCGAGTCTTAGATCAGCTCTGCTGGGCCCTTGCCCAGGTCCCCGACCCGAGAGAGGCAAGGAGGGGGCGGGGTGCGTGAGGAACTTACTAATGAAGTAGTCCGAGGTGTAACGGGATTCGGGGTAGGCAGCGTTGACTCCATTAACTTGATAGGGCTTCACGTCCTCTGCAACAGATGGAGCAGCGGGGGAAACAGAACGTCAGCACGCAAGTCATGCTTGGCCTCCAAGGGTCTCAGGTGCCAGGACCACAATGACCTCAACCCCTTTTCTAAGAAATCTGTGTGTTCATTGACTGAGTTGGTGTCTGAGTCGGCCCTGACTGGGGCCTTGTCTGGAGATGAGATCACAGAGCAGGGCTATGTTACGATTTCGGTAGCTGCAAAACGGGGCTTACTATCTTGGAAAGGGAATCCGTGAGTAATCGCCGAGGGCTGGGCATTCAGCCTCATTCTCATTCTCGATGCATTCCCACTGTGTGGGGCTGTGCGTGCGTGTACATGTGTGTGCGTGCGTGTGTGTGTGCATGCACATGAGGGGGTGTATAGCACACTGCATCAGAGCCAAAGGCTTGGGGATCCCTCGAAAAGTCACCGAGATCAGTCCTCAGTCTTCAAACTGACCAGTCTCAAAACTTTTCAAGAACAAATTGCAGTCCTTAGGCAGGCAGACTTAGAGCCTCCACTTCCTCTAAGGGATGCCTTGATTTGGTTTTGTTTTTTCACTGCCTTCATATTTCGAGTTCGGGCCCAGACAAGGAGCCGGGCACTGATAAGGTGACTCCCTTTGGTGACTATGACAGGCCCATGGAAGGGAGAGGAGGGCAGCAGTTGCCACCTCTCTAAGAATGAGCAGAGAAGACCACAGTGTGCAGCTGGGGACAGAGAGGCTCCCCTCTGAGCCAGGAGATGGGGGCTTGCCATCCCTCTGCAACCAGGAGGGTGGCCTCGGACTCTCCGAAGCCCTGGCCCGACCTACCCATCCTAAGAAGCAGACTTAGAGAGAGAGTGGAGGTATGGGCTTTTCCTCAGGTATTTGATAGCTTGCTGGGAGCAAAGACTGATGGGAAAACAAGTTTATGCCTGCATAGAAAAACAGCTCCCAGTTGAGATAAAAACTGATTAAATTTTGCTTTCGGGGCTTATCAGATTCAAACAGTCCCTGCCCCTGCCCTTCCACCCGCCCCCCAGCAGCTCTTCTCTCCGGAGCTGGAGCTGCGTCCTTAGGTCTCCCTGCAGAGTGGAAGCTGCAGTCACGCCAACAGCTGGCCCTGTCCTCTGAAGGTGCCTCTTCAGGAGGTTGCTTCCCCAGCAAATGCAGGCAGGGGACGGGACTTCTGTTCTCACACACCCCGAGTTAAACCCTGAGTCTCTTCAGTTCCTTTGCAGGGAGGACACACCTGTCCCAGAGGCTCAAAGCTCCCCAGGGTCTATTACCAATATGCGAAAGCTACAGGATAGCCACTTAGGTTTTAGGACCAGGAAGTTAAATGAGTAAAAGTTCATAGGCTCAATAACACCAAGTATATCAATAAATTGAAAACAGAAAACCAAGTTTAAGGAAGTGACCCAGGCTAGGAAGCCCTGACTGAGCCTCGTTTCACAGGGTGAGGACGACCATCACACTTGCCCTTCTCCGCTCACGGGTTATTCCGATAATCCCAAGGGAAAGTGGATAGCAGGCACTTGGGGACTAGGAGACCCCACGGGTACTGACAGTAACTGAGCAGTCGGACTGACACCTAACTCTGCCTGTGACGGGCCGAGGGGAACGCCGTTACAGACGTGCCTGGGTGCACAGTCAGGCTCTGCTGCAGGTGGAGAGGCCCACCGTGCACTGGGCTCCCCCGGCGGGCCGGTGTCCACACCCAGAGTGGCACCCATGCGGCTGCACCGGGCGGGCTCGTTCATCCGGGCCACGGGAGACGCCGCTCGGGCTTTGCTGCACTATTTTCCAACAGAAGCTGAAGAGGAGTAAAGATAACACATGGGCCCAGAGGAATCTCCTGGGTCCCCGTGAGCGCTGCCGAGTGGAAAGCCCTGAACAAAGGCAGGCATTATATGGAAGCGGAGTGCTAACCCTGAGCTCTCGCCTTCCCCGGCGCCTGCACCCAGGGCTGGAGCGGTGACCACAGGCAGGGTGGGCCTGGGTTACAGAGGGCAACGGGCGTCTAGCCTTACAGTCAGCTGGAGGGCACTGCTGACTGCTGGTAACTGCGATTTATTTTAAGAAGAAATTCAGCAAAATAAGTGCAAAAACACCCAGGTTTGCTGCCTGCTGCCGTTTCTGTACTCAGCCGGGGCTGTGGTACATGAGTCACTGGTCCAAGCCAGTTGGAAGAGGTGATAGGGGAGGCCGTGTCCCTGCAAGGGTGCAACACAGCGTCCTGACCTGACCCCGGCTTCGGCTCCAGATGTGAAAGGTGTATTGGGCTACCCAGACAGCAGAGAAGCCTGCCTGCGAACAAGCCCCAAGAAGTCAGCTTTCCTGTGGGCGTGACGTGGCACTGCACAGCCACGGATCAAGGGCTGTGGACTAAGATGGCCTGGGGACAAAACCTTCCTGGCTTTGGGCACCACTGGCACGAACAGTGCACAGCTCTGAGACAGGCTGGGCTCAGGACCCTCAGACCGCGAGGCTTCAGGAGTGGAGTCTTGCCAAGGAGCACAGTCTGCCCCGTGGCACGCAGAGCAGAAGAGCCTTCTGTGCACCTGCGACAGGCCAGGTAGTGTAAGGATACCACTGGGAAATCTCCGAGCACTTCCCTGTCCACTCCCTGCCTATGTCTGCAGCCTGCGCACCACCCTCTCCCTCCCCCATGCTTACCTTTCTGCAGGATCTCTAGATGTTCCCACAAGATGTCCCCAACGAAGTCTGGGGCCAGCTCAAGAAAGCAGTCTTTTCCCAGGCCACACAGGGCCGCTCCATTCATACAGAACTTCTGGAAGTCCACGCCCTTGAGGCTGAACTCATTCACAGCCCACATCACCCAGTCCCGGACGTGGGTTTCTGTCCACTGCCTGGGGTCTGAGGGGAGAGAGGAGACGAAGATCCGGGTCAGGCTCCGATGTCTTACCTGTCCTCAGAGAGGACATGGGGGACCTTCCATGCCCAGCTGAGGGGACACCTTCACAGAGCTAGGGAACACCCGGATGGTGACACGTGCTGCTGGACCTTTCCCCCTCCACAGCCCGGCTTTGCTCCTGGGCACCCAGGAGGTCACCACTGTCACCAAGAATAACAGGAGAGTCGTCTCTGCACCCCACACATCTTCCCCCTCACTGGTCATCCCCATTCGACCTTGTTAAAAGCCCTAGGGACCAGCAGTTAGTGTAATGGCTATGTCACTGGACTCCCATGTAGTCGACCGCGGTTTGAGTCCCGGACCCGGCCGCTTAAACTCATGCTGGGCACGTGTTTGTGTGTGCCCAAGATCCCGAGAGGAGAATGGAGGAGAAGGGATTGCGGCGTAGTCATCCCCCCCCGGGGGGGTGGATTTCTTGCTTTCTGTCTCTCTGTCTCTCTCTGTCTGTCTGGTGAGCGCATGTTCCCTATAGCAAAAACCTCTCCCAAAAAAAAAGGCCCTGGATGTGGAGCCAAGGGCTCCGGCAGTGGTTTTAGACACACACCCACCTCTCTCTGCCCTTCACTCCTAGAATACACCTCTCCAAAAGCCATAGGAAACACATACTATCAATAACTATGTGTGAATTTCAACATTTTTTGCACCAAAAGGAATTCATGCTTGAACCCCGTTTTCCGACCAAGTTTCTGAAGTCCCCTCATACACCCGAATGTCCAATGAGTCTCACCCTCACTCAGAAGAGCAGTGAGAACCACACGCCTGGTCGTAAGTCCCCCGACAGTGCTGGTATTGCACCGTCACCAGGGGCCCGTGTCCCACCCACTGCCTGCAGGTCTACCTGATCGCAGGCCCTGCTGAAGCAGCACTACAGGGACAACAACGAGGTCTTCACGAGTGACCCGAGAGCCCACGGCCACTCCAGTCACAGACCCTCTGAGAGCTCAGACCAATGGCAGGGCATGATGCCATGTCATAACTGCATGGAGGCCACCCCTTCAACCCCTAGGACGACTGCAGGAGACGCTGGAGCCAGGGGCCAGAAGGCTCTGCTCTGCCTGGACCCTGAGGTCGGCACTGCCGTCGGCTGTGGCTGAGATAAGGCGGGAACCATGGGAGAGGGGACAGACGCATGGACGGGCTGAGGCCACCTGACAGACTGCATGTCCCTCAGCCAGCAGAAGCAGCTGATCCAATGCAAGCAGCACCCTTCCTCGTGGGACGTGCTCTGGCTGCTCTACAGCTCCTGAGCGGCCTGCACTGCAGGTGTGTTCTCACCCTTCTCCGGGCTGACGACTAGTCTAGCTAGTGCCCAGATGGGCCCTCTCAGTAAGAGCTCCCAAGGGCACACACTTCATCGAACCGCATGGGAAACATTCCAGGAAATGCAGCTCACTCAGGCCATCCAATGGCAGCCCCGAGGGACCCCAAGACAGACTGCCCCAAACCGTCTGCACTTTGGAATCACTTGAGCTCCCAAAACACTGAGGCCGCCAGTGGTGAGATTCCATTGCTGTGAAATGTAGCCCAGGTGTGGGAGTTTTCAAAGACCCAGGGGTGACTCCAATAGGCAGACCAGCTGGGGACCACTGCCCGGGACCAGACGGCAGCCACAGTCTGGGAGGCGGAGGAGCGTCAGCCTGGGGGTCTGGGTATCTGTGAGCGTCTGAACACACACAGCAACAAGGTGGCTGCTGGCTCACACCCCTTTGTGCAAGGTGCACAGTGCTTGGCTGGACTCCCCCCACGCAGACGAGAACCTTCCCCAAGGGTCCGGGGGGCCTTTTCCAAGGACAAAATCATACCTTTTGGGATTCCCAGCCGCTGCTGCTCTTTACTGAAGCCACTGAAAGTAGCTTTCAAGGCCTGAGACATCATTTCTTTGCTGCTTGGAGTTAGGAGGGGGACATCCGCACATTCCATGTCTGGAAGAAAAAAGGCGTTTAAGTGGCCGCATTAAACAGGCAACTAATAAGACATCGAAGGGACGGGCAGGCTGAAAAAGGCAAGCTGAGACAAACAACCCGCTGACATCCTAACCAGAGCGGGAAACCTTAGAGGACCTTCCGCCAGGTACTAGTCCCCTTAAAAACACCTCGGACAGAGCATGCTCATTCTTCCTGCACCGCTCTCTGGTCCCCTGCAGCCCCTGCTGCCTGGCACATACCCTGAGAGTGTTAGTGTCACGACATCCCTTCAGATACCTGCGAACAGGACTAACACCCACTCATCAGCAAATAATTACTCATCACTGGCCATGTGCAAGGAATTCAAGAAACATCAGTAATAAAGACAGAAATGGTCTCTACCTCAAGAAGCAAGGTATTTGATTCTTGTTTTGGCTTTAGTCATTAAAAAAAATCTATTTTACATGATTCAACATTCAAATATATCACTAGAGCTCTGACAGAGAAATAGAAAGGCCTTTGCAAAGTTCATGGGGCTGACCCTGTTGGCTAGTGGTTAAAGGAGCCAGGTCCCACATGGCCAAGTGAAGTTCCAATCCCTGCCCTGGCTGCTAGAAAAATGCACTTGGCACATATACGCGTGCATGGGTGCCCAGAAATCTGAGACAAGGAGAAATGGAGAAGAGATCGCAGCATGACACACTCCACGGAGGGATGTTCTCTCTCTTGTGAGAGAGATAGAGAGCAGGCGTACATGTGCCCTCTGGCAATTAGGAAAAAAGCTTATGGGGGCCAGCAGGTGGCATTGTGATTAAGATGCTGGACCCCCACATGGCTGACTGTGGTTCGAGTCCTGGACCTCGCAGCTTGCTTTCTCACTTTCTCTCTCTCTCGCTCTCTCTCTCTCATGAGTGCATATGCCCTAAAGCAAATTTTAAAATAATATTAATAAATAAAATAAAGTATATTGAAAATGCACATTATGAAAAAACAACGAATGGGGACCAGCAAGTGGCGTGGTGGTTAGGGCGCTGGACACTCCCATGTGGCTGACCACAGTTCAAGTCCCAGACCTGGCAACTTTCTCTCTCTCTCTCTCTCTCTGGTCAAATGTAAATAAAGTGAATAATAAATAAAATGAAAACAAATAATTATTTAAAAAAAAAAAAACAATGAATGGATTTCAAAAATTTCCTGCACCAAATGAACTCCCACTTTAATCCCATTTCCGTGAGGTTTCTGAAGCCCCTCACACGAGCTGCAATGTTTACAGGGCAGAAGGCCCTGAGAGTCTGGAGAAACCAGGAAAGGCCTCCCCTAGGAAAAGAGGATGCCTGGGAGTTTAGGAAGGAGAGGGCATCCCAGGCCAATGGCTCTCAAAGTGCCAGCCCCAAGCATCTACATGTGTGTCACCTGGAAACTGATAAAACGCAAATTGTCAGCCCCACCCCAGACACCCCAACCAGTGCCTACAGGGTGGAGCCCAGAAAGTGGTGTTAACACAGCATCCTGGTGACTCAGGTGGTCTGACGGCACGACCCCACACACAGAGCAGAGCTGGAGGTTATGGGGAGGCAACAAGGCCACTGCCTGAGGCTGGCGGTCTGGGGCCCACTGGCTGAGAAGGGGCTGGGGAGGGGACCCAGGACTTGGCAAGGAGCCCACCGTCCGCCACAGCGAGATGAGCAGCCCTCAGGAGCTGTGGGCACAGAACGGGAGGGCGTGTCTGCGCTCAGATCACACCAACCTTCGGAGAAGGGACATAGGAAGGCTTGCCATGCGGCAGTGGCTTTCCCAGGGAAGGTGGGCGTGCGGGTAACCCAGGGAGACAAACTGGAAGTGCACGAGGAGGCAGACTGCAGAGCTCCATTGACCCGGGGCAGAGAGAGGAGAGGCCAGACCCGCAGACTTGCTGCACCATGCTGCACCACGCAGCTCTGCGTTCGCCTCGGGCACAATCCCCACAAAAGTGAGGAGCACAGGCGTGACAGCGGCCTTGCTGTGACCTTCTGGCAGCAAGGCACTTTCCTGCAGAGATTTCTAGAGGTTTGCCTCTTCATGGGATCGCATGAACTGGTCCTAAAATGACTGAGGGGGACTAGCCATTTTTAAACCTTGGCTGGTTAAAATATATATATATCTACATATCTATCTATCCCAGGGCACACATCATGTGCTGTTGACTGAATAAAATGGCATCGTATAAAAGGAGGCACTCGGGGACCTCCAAAACAGGGCAAACACATGGCACCCCAACGTTGGGGTATGCGGAAGCGGCACTGCACAGGATGGGGGCAGGGCAGGCGGCCTCTCCTCGCTGCGTGTGTGACGCTGCCAGGGAGCCCTCCAGAGCTGCCCCCCAGGCCTTGCCATGGCAGGGACCCTGAAGGCCCAGGGAGTGGTGAGTCCGGGTTGCCCTGGGACGTGCCCAAAAACTTCTAGTGGAAAAATCAACATGCTTCCAGGAAAGTTGACAAAATGATGGAAAATCCCAGATTGTGAGGAAGAACAAAAACGGGGGAGGGGACAGAACGTCGATTACGTAACAGCCTTTGAACAACGGAGTCATCACCATGAGTCACTACAGAGCACGCCGAAGCGCCCTGGCCCCCATGCCAAGTTCAGGAACAGCTAAGCAGCAGGTCTAGAAGCGCCTCCCCGGGCAGTAGAAGCCAGTCCTGCTACAGAAAGCGGCTCTGCAGTCGCTGCCTCTGAGAAAGCCACATGTGGCCCTCCAGCTCCCAGCGCAAGGCTAAGCATGAGCCAATCAGCAGACCTTCAGAGGGTTTTCAGCTTTTCAAACGTGCACCTTTCCTGCCCTCACCCCATCCAAAACAAATGCCTAAACTTGGATGGTTCGGGTTTTCGCGCCTGCTCCTTCCTGAGATTCAGGATTCGATGACGAGGGCTTGACCAATGGCAGAAATGTGCCAAGGAAATACAGGCCAGGCCAAAGGACAGCGTGGTCTGAACTGCAGCAGCCAGGAGCTTGGCTTCGTCCACACAGGAGACTCGGTGGCCTGATGCCGGCGTGATGTGGGGGTCACAGACGGGAGCCGAGAGCCCGCCCCCCCAGGTCTGCCTACCCTGGCAGCGTGGTCTTCCAGGTCCTCGCCAGGGAAGCAGCTGGGTTCCTTTCACCCACCCACATCAATGCCACGTCCAAAGCCCAGTCCGCTGCCCTCCACTGCAGCCCCCAGGGCCCGTCACCGGTGTGGGCAACGCACACGCCCATCTCTCGGCCAAGAGCTCAGAGCCCAGCTGGTGGACGCCATCCCCACACATGGGAAACCTGCGTTCGGACCCGACTCCAGGGAAGGCACGTCACTGCCCGTGGGCCCACAGGAGCCAGACAGGAAGCTACCCACATTCAAGAGGTGTGGCATTTCGGCTCGGAAGACAGCTGAGCCCTCTATCAGCAACGGGGCCCGTGGCCAGGCTGGCTCTTAGAACGGGTGAGCCCTGCACTTCGCGGGTGTGAGTAACCTGTCCACGGCGGACACAGAGCACGGAACTCCCAGGTGAAAGCCATGCAGACGTCCCCCGCGCCGCGCATCCCTGTGGCCGTCCCGCGAATTGCCCCGAGCCAACACCACGATGCAGTGAGGACACAGGCGGGGGGCCCCCGCCCCCCCACCTCGTCGCGGGCAACACGTGGGCGTGAGGGCCCGCACTGCCCCCCCCAGGAGTATCATCTAGAAACCACCCACCTCTCCGCGAGGGAATGAACCGTACCTTACGGAGAAACACAGAAAGTGCCTTTGTTACTAGTGAGGATACCTTAAATGTAAATAGCACATTTGTCTGGGACAACACAGTCGAGACGCCAAACACCGTGTCCCGGAAGCTGAAGACGAGTGTGCACGGGGGTACGTCATTTCCTGCCCGCAGCTAGGCCTCTGGACCCCGTATCTCGCCAGTCGACATAAGAATTACCCCCACTTCTAGGAGGAAAGTTGTGCAGAAACTGGAGAATAAACAGCGTCCCAAGATCCATAGGGTGGAGGCGAGGAGCAGGGGCCTGCCTGGGACCGGTGGGGACCCCAGAGCCCACAGCCTTCTCAGTGTAGCGGACGTGTGCTTACCCTAACCCCACTCCTGCATGCGTGTTTCCTATGAAGCACAAAAACCAGGGTCTCATTCACTTACGGGGGGGCTTTCAGGGAAAATGCATATTATGAAAAACCTATGCATGGATTTCAAAACTGTACCAAGGTAACCTCATTCTTTAATTCGGTTTTCCAAGAAGGTCCTGAAGTCCCCTGTATGGAACTCAGTTAAGAGCCATTCTGTTTCCAGGAAGCCCTTGAGCACGCCTCGTGTCTTCTCATGCCACCCCTTTGAGCTCTCTGAAGCTGACTGGCTCCTGCCAGCAATGCTACCTGCAGTTTGCACTGAGGCGGCCTCTGCCCAGCTAGAAGTCTAAGACACGTGACCACGCAGGCTCTCACCGTTCTCAACACAAGACGACGAGGGGACTGGAGGGTCTGAGGTCCCGCAGGGAAAGGGACACAGCCAAGGACAAGAAGCCCAGGGTGCACGCCCCAGTCTCAGGCCCACTGGACTGGGCCACGCCCGTGGGGATCTGAAAGACCCAGCTGTCCACACTGGGCAGTCACGGCCGCCAGCATGAAGCCCGTACCCTCCCACAAACAGCCACACATCTGCTCCCCGAATCTCACCCCCCGGGGCTGTGGGAACCACAGCGCTGCTGGGCCTCCATGTTACAGATGAGGCGACCAGGCGCAAAGACTGAGGGTGTGCCTGACAGCCCGGAGTTGGGAGCAACCGGACGGAGCTAGAAGCACGTCTCCCGCCTCTTAAACCCAGCATCTGCCACCGTATTCTACTGCAAAGAGCAATGGACCAGGGAAATGCACGCACAGAGCTGAGAGACAGGACTTCGCCTTTCGCAGACTAAAGATTAGATGTATTTAGAAAATAACTAACTGAAAACTACCCCAAGAAACCCTGAGTTTCACAAGGCTAGCCTCATGACGAAAAGCTACTTACAGAAT